GGGTGGGAGAGCGTGGAGGATGTGTTGTGGGGAGGGAGGACGGGAGAGGAGCGGGCAGGGGGGCCGAGAGGAGGGTGCATGCGTGCAGGTCTGGTGGCGGGTTGGACGGTTGGATGGGGGATGGGGGACGAACGAGGCATCGGCACGGCGGCAGGTTTGGGCCCTGACAAGCGCCTGCAGTGAGGCAAGTGGTGTCAGGCAGGGCCGGCGTACACTGCCGCTGCCTGATTGCGGGGGCAAAAACAAGCGCGTCAACCCACGCACGCGCGCGCCGCCGACCGTCCCGCCGGCTCCCACCGACCCACCCGTGAGCGTGGCCTGCTTGAGCTTTGGCGCTATGGCCAGTGTGGCCTTGAGGGTGAGCTCCCTGATGTATGCGTTGTCATCATTGAACCCCGTTTGGAGGTGCGGGAAGATCTGCTCCTCCACGATGGGCTGCGTGAAAAAAAGAGATCCCCCGAGATTGGGAGGGCGGGGGGCGTGTTGGGGGGTTTTCAGGGTTTGGGGCCGGTCAGCCAGGCCGGGCTGGCACAGAGGCTGCGTGCGCGGGGCGCAACGGGCGATTGAGGACCCTGAGCCACGGCCTGTGCCGGCTGCAGGCCATGATTTCTGCACGCACGCACACATACACACACACGCAACATGCACGCACAAACACCAATACACACAAGCACTCTCTCTCTCTCTCTCTCTCTCTCACACACACACACACACACACACACACACACAAACACACAAGCGCAAGCACAAGCACACATAAACATGCACAAGCACACGCACACACGCACCCCCTCCCCACCGTCCTCTGTTCCAACCCTCACTCGCGGCAGCCACACCCCCAGCCGCCCCTGCTGGCCCGCAGCAACCCCTCACCGTGGTCAGGTGCGGCCCCCACACGTCCACAGACTCAAGCAGGTTGCGCCTCAGGCTCCTGTCCGTCGACGCAAACAGCTTCGCCAGGCTGGGCACGACGCGCTTCTGGAACTCGTCCTGCGGCAGCGGCCGCCCGATCTGCAGCAGGGAGCCCACCGCGCTGGGCGGGGCGCCGCCAAACTCGAGGGCGCGGGAGAGCAGGGGCAGCACCTTGCGGGCCGCGACGGCCTCGGGGACGGCGGGGAGGAGGGTCGGCAGGCGCTTGAAGAAGGCGTCCTTCTCGGCGCCGTCCTTGACTGTCGGGTTGTGGAAGGCAAAGAGGGCGGCGCGCCGCGCGGGGACGCTTCGTTTCTCGGGTGATAGGGTCCCCGAGGCGCAGCGCCCGGCCGGGCGAGAGGGTGGGGACGCCATGACCAACGCAGGCGCTCGCCGCTGGCGGTCGCGCTGACATGCTGCTGGCGCCCAATACCCAAGATCAATTTGTGGCGGCAGCCGATACTCTACATGATCGCGGCCGACCTGAGATGTTCTCCATGAAGTCAACCACTTTGACCAGGCGGTTGTTCAGAAAGCTGGATTCCGCCACCTGTCATCGCGACAAAACGCCGCGGGGCAAGCGAGGCGGGGCTCAGGGCGCGCGTGGGGCGTGGGTGCGGGTCACGCCGGCTGGGTACGGCGGGCGGCGACATCTGATCCGCCCCACCACAGGCGGCATGGCGTAGCGGCCAGCCGCCATAGGGTCCCGACAAGCCCATCGGAAGCCCGCCCGCCTGGCTGGGGTTGAGCCGCCGCGCCGGGTTGGAGTTGAGCAGCTTCTGGTAGTCCCCCAGCAGCGCCGGCGGGATGACCTCGGTGCGGCGCAGCTGCTCCACCGCGCGCAGGGGCTCGCCGCTGAACACCTCCTGCGGGCAGAGGGCGCGGCGGACCCCGGCGGCTGGTTCCGTTGTGTAGCAGCGCCAACGCGAGCGCCCAAGCCAGGGCCGCTGCTGTCACCAATCAGAAGGCAGGCGGCTGCAAACCTCCACAGAAGCGCACGTGTGAAGTTCACTTCCCGAGCCTGCGTTGGATGGCGCCTCCAGTGACAGACCGCTGCCCTGCCGCCCGCTGCACCCGCCCCTCACCTGCATCATGCACCCGAGCCCCCACGAGTCCACCGCCCACGGCGGCCCCTGCGCCACCGCCGCCCAGTCCGCCTTGGCCACCTCTGCCGCCTTGTAGTGCGGCCCCACCATCCAGGCCGCGTGCTGCAGCGCAAAGTCCCCCTGGCAGGCCGCCTCAGACAGCAGGTCAAAGCCGTGGAGCTTCCAGTCGAGGGTGTCGGTGACGGCGACAGCCGACATGCACAGGTGCCCGTGGATCTGCGTGCATTCGTGTGTGTGCGTGTGTGTTTGTGTGTGTGTGTGTGTGTGCGTGTGTGTGTGTGTGTGTGTGTGTGTGTGTGTGTGCGCGCGCGCGCACGCGCGCGCGCGCGTGCGTGTGTGTGTG